TCTCGTTCCTCTGAAATATTCAATTTCGGACAGTAATTGCTTCCCCAAAAGTCTCAAACATTATGATATTCTCACCATTTATCTCAAACCAACAGCCAACTCCCAAATTTATTAATACAACCAAACAATTATTCAGACCAACTGTCAAGAAAAGGTCAGTTAAAGTCACCTAGGATTATAATATCATTATAATAACCACAAAATTCAAATGGTAGCAAATGATAGCTTAATATAACCGAGCTGTCAAAAATAAGGCACATGGGATGGTTCCTACTATAAATTAATAAGAACCACCACCGCTTTGACACCATGTCATGTAGGGGGGTAATGGAACATATCGGATATAGTGGGAATATGGGAGTAAGCATTATGAAAGGCAGGGGAGAGGCAGGCGGGGTGGTAGGGAGTGAGATGATTAGCGGGAGGTAGGTAATGACAGGTCAGTGGTGACCACCACGACACTCTCATTACTTACACTACTCACTAACATATGCCCGCCCTTCTTCCTCCATATATAACTAATAAATATAAGAAAAAAGAATAACGGGAAAATATCGGGGACAGTGATATTACTATTCTATCTCAAAGAACAGTTTATTATTAAGTTCTTGTACAATAATATATTTGCGGAACAGGAGATACATATTGGCGGTTTGATAAATGGGGTGGTACTCCATGAAGCAGTGAGACTCAGGGAACACAATAACTATGACGTAATTGAATTAACTTAGAATTATACAGAGGACAGTTCATACAGGAACTATAGCACAAGGTCCCAAGACCTACACAGCACGAGTACTGCACCAAGCCAGTACTCTGCCCAATGCCTCCAACAGCCTCCAGAGGACTTCAGCAGCCTCTCCCGAGCCCTGCACCACCGCAGCCGCTCCGCTCGAAGTTCTCTGCTCAGGAGCTCTGCACCCCAGCTGCAGCTCCGCTCGTATCTCCTGATCATTCTCTTCCTTGGGCTTTTATGGTGGTCCAAGCACCCTCCACAACCACGTGTACGACCTGACGCCTAGGTCTGACGCCGTCAAGAACAAAAAACCTCAGACGTGGGCGTGGCTACAGACGTTTGCCAAGGCAAGGTGTGACCATATAATTGGTTAAATTAGGTCTCCAAGAGACCTCACAAGCCCAATGATACTTACATCAAACTTGTTCTGTTGGTAATTGTAATTATGTGAATCATGGCAACTCCAGCCTGGCAAAAGGCCAGCAGCTACCTTCCTAAGATCTGATTGCCGAAAAATCAGTGGCCACCAGGCCACGGTGCCCCGTAGCCTGGTGGCTAAAACTCTCGCTTCACACGGCGAGGGTCCTGGTTCGACTGCGGCGTGGGTAGAAAACATTAAGAGTGTTTTTCTTTACAGCCGGTTTCTATGTTCCACATCAGTAAATATGGGTATCCTGGCGTGTTAGTAGATGGTGAGGGTCGCAATCCTGGGACAAAACTAAAAAAATTTTGTCCGAAATGTCATAATAAAGGGGCTTTCTAATATAGTTTGTCATTGATGTCAGCTATGGTCTGTATACCTTTTACATGTACTTGTGGAATAAAGATATTGTTATTATTATTATTATTATTATTTTTTTATTATTGAGAAGTGTGTGGAATGCCAGTGTTCCTTGACTGCTGAGAGGATTCACAGGTACATGCTATGCATTATATTGTTACAATTACTGGATACATAAGCTGTGTGCTGTGCTGTGTTCAATGACAGTTACGTAATATGAAGAGAGCTACCAAGGTTTCCTCATCATTTTTTTTGACACAGGATGGTGTTCCTAACCGGGTGATAGAACAGGGTGATCCAGGTGACATAAGTAGGGTGTTTAAAGGACATCATTAAGTACATTAGTAGGTATTTAGCAGCTATGTTAAGCTTGCAAGAACTTCATGTCAGAAACTACATGGAATGAGGACCTGTAAGACCTGGAGTTTACTGTGCTTTTCAATGTTATCTTTAGGAGTATCTATCTTCCTCACACTTTCTCAGCCTCTTTCCATCTTCTCCAATTATCTTCCTTTTTCCTACCAGGACTAAGGTTGGTAGATCCTTCCTTGCCAGGACTCAGGTTGAAGTCTTCCTTACATTGTAACATTAAAAGGATTGGAAAAAATAAATGTACTAATGCAAATTTATTCAGGACTAATACATGAAGGAAATATGAAAGACATGAAGTGCTGGAAGTGAAGTGAGACAGGGAAGTGAGAGGTATGTTACAGGGCTATGTAGAATTTCAAAGATCAAGAAAACATTCCTGATTGAGAAAGAATTGCGTCTACTGATTGTTTTGATCTCTAATATATTTTAGTAATCTTTTAAGGATTATTTAGTAAATTCGTTCCTTCATACTTTTGTGGAAGATGTTTTTCATATTTAATTTTACATTTATTTTTTTTTCTGTTCATTTTTATTTTTGTTTTTATTGATCTTGAATCCAAATGGAGTGATGACCTGAACGTAGTGGGTATCATGGTCGTCAACAGGTGTGGGTATTCTTGGTCGTCTACAGGTAGTGGGTATCTCGGTCGTCTACAGGTAGTGGTATCTCGGTCGTCAACAGGTAGTGGGTTTCTCGGTCGTCAACAGGTTGTGGGTATTCTCGGTCGTAAACAGGTAGTGGTATCTCGGTCGTCAACTAGGTAGTGGGGGTATCATGGTCGGTCAACAGGGTTAGTGGGCATCACTCGGTCGTCAACGGTAGTAATAAATAGGCTTTCACGGTCGTCAAACGGGTAGTAGGCTCATGGTCGGCAACAGTAGTAGGATCATGGTCGTCACAGGTTTGTAGGCATGTCTTGGTCGTCAACAGGAGTGGGTATTCATGGTCGTAACGGGTAGTGGGTATCTCGGTCGTCAAAGTAGTGGGTATTCCGGTCTCGTCAACAGGTAGTGGGTATCTCGGTACGTCAACAGGTAGTGGGTATCTCGGTCGTCAAACAGGTAGTTGGTATCATGGTCGTGTACGGTAGTGGGTATCTCGGTTCGTCTTAAACGGTGTGGGTATCTCGGACGTCAACAGGTAGTGGGTATCATCGTCGTCAACAGGTAGTGGGGTATCTCGGTCGTAACCGGTTGTGGGGATCTAGGTCGTCCATCTGGTAGTGGTATTCATGGTCGTCAAAGGTAGTGGGCTTCACGGTCGTCATACAGGTAGTAGCTCACGGTCGTCAACGGGTAGTCGGTTCTCGGCGTCAACGGGTAGTAGGCTTCACGGTCTTCAAAGGTTGTAGGCTCTCGGTCGTTCAACGGGTAGTACGGCTTACGGTCGTCAACGGGTAGTAGCTCACGGTCGTCAACAAGGTAGTAGGCTTCACGGGTCGTCAACAGGTAGTATGGGCATCACTGTCGTCAACAGGTAGTTGGCTTCACCGGACGTCAAACAGGTAGTAGGCTCACGGTCGTCAACAGGTAGTAGGCATCACGGTCGTCACGGGTAGTAGGCATAACGGTCGTCTAACGGTAGTTAGGCTTCACGGTCGTCAAACAGGTAGTAGCATCACGATGTCAGATACAGGTAGTAGGCTTCACGGTCGTCAACAGGTAGTAGGCTTCACGGTCTGTCATCCAGGTAGTAGGCTTCACGGTCGTAAACAGGTAGTAGGCTCACGGTCGTCAAAAGTAGTTGGCTTCACGGTCGTAAACAGGTAGTAGGCTTCTCGGTCGTCAACAGGTAGTAGGCTTCACGGTCGTCAACAGGTAGTAGGCTTACATCGGTCAGTAAACAGGTAGTTGGCTTCACGGTCGTCAACAGGTATTAGGCTTCACGGTCGTCAAACAGGTAGTTGGCTTCACGGTCGTCAACAGGTAGTAGGTTCACGTGTCAACTGGGTAGGAGGTTCACGTCGTCATACAGGTAGTAGGCTCACGGTCGTTCAACAGGTAGTAGGCTTCACGTTCAAAGGTTAGTAGGCTTCCACGGTCGTTCATAAAAACAGTGTAGTTGGCTTCACCGGTCGTCAACAGGTAGTAGGGCTTCACGGTCGTCACAGGTAGTAGGGCTTTCACCGGTGTCACAGGGAGTAGGCTTCACGGTCGTACTGTGTAGTAGGCTTCACGGTCGTCAACAGGTAGTAGGCTTCACTTCGTCAACAGGTAGTAGGCTTCACGTCGTCAACGGGTAGTCTAGGCTTCACGGTGTCAACGGGTAGTAGGCTTCACGGTCGTCAACAGGTAGTAGGCTTCACTGTCGTCAACAGGTAGTAGGCTTCACGGTCGTCAACAGGTAGTAGGCTTCACGGCTCGTCAACACAAAGTTAGTAGGCTTCCCACGGTTACAGGTAGTAGGCTTACGGTCGTCAAGGGTAGTAGGCTTCACGGTCGTCAACGGGTAGTAGGGATTCACGGTCGTCAACGGGTAGTAGGGCATCACGGTCGTCAACAGGTTGTAGGCTATCACGGTCAACAGGTATGTAGGCTTCACGTCGTCAACAGGGTAGTAGGCGTCACGGTCGTCAAACAGGTAGTAGCATCACACGGTCGTCATCCGGTAGTAGGCATCACGGTCTTTCAACAGGTAGTAGCATCACGGTCGTTCAACAGGTAGTAGGCTTCACGGTCTAACATGGTGTAGGCTTCAACGGTCGTCAACAGTAGTAGGCTTCACGGTGTCAACAGATGTAGGCTTCACGGGTCGTCAACAGGTAGTAGGCTTCACGGTCGTCAACAGGTAGTAGGCTTCACGGTCGGCAAACAGGTAGTAGGCTTCACGGTCGTCAAAACAGGTAGTAGGCAGCACCGGTCGTCAACAGGGAGTAGGCTTATGGTCGTCAACAGGTATGTAGGCTTCACGGTCGTCAACAGGTAGTAGGCATTATCGGTCGTCAACAGGTGGCAGTTAGGCTTCACGGTCGTCAACAGAGTAGTAGGCATCACGGTCGTCAACAGGGTAGGTAGGCTTCAACGGTCGTCAACAGGTAGTAGCTTCACGGTCGTCAACAGGTAGTAGGCTTCACGTCGTCAACAGGTAGTAGGCTTCACGGTCGTCAACAGGTAGTAGGCTTCACGGTCGTCAACGGGTAGTAGGCTTCACGGTCGTCAACAGGTAGTAGGCTTCACGGTCGTCAACAGGTAGTAGGCTTCACGGTCGTCAACGGGTAGTAGGCTTCACGGTCGTCAACAGGTAGTAGGCTTCACGGTCGTCAACGCGGTAGTGGCTTCACGGTCGTCACGGGTAGTGGGCTTCCACCGGTCCGTAACAGGTAGTAGGCATCACGGTCGTCACAGGTGTAGGCTTCACGGTCGTCACCAGGTAGTAGGGCTTCACGGTCGTCCAAACGGGTAGTAGGCTTCACGGTCGTCAACGGGTAGTGGGCTTCACGGTCGTCAACAGGTAGTAGGCATCACGGTCGTCAACGGGTAGTAGGCTTCACGGTCGTCAAGGTAGTAGCTTCCGGTCGTCAACGGGTAGTGGGCTTCATGGGTCGTTCAACAGGTAGTAGGCTTCACGGTCGTCAACGGGATGGAATACGTAGGCTTCCGGTCGTCAACGGGTAGTAGGCTTCACGGTCGTCAACAGGTAGTAGGCTTCACGGTCGTCAACAGGTAGTAGGCATCACGGTCGTCAACAGGTAGTAGGCTTCACGGTCGTCAACAGGTAGTAGGCTTCACGGTCGTCAACAGGTAGTAGGCTTCACGGTCAACAGGTAGTAGGCTTCACGGTCGTCAACGGGTAGAGGCTTCAGGGCCCGGTGGGGCTCGTCAACGGGTAGTAGGCTTCACGGTCGTCAACGGGTAGTAGGCATCACGGTCGTCAACAGGTAGTAGGCATCACGGTCAACAGGTAGTAGGCTTCACGGTCGTCAACAGGTAGTAGGCTTCACGGTCGTCAACAGGTAGTAGGCATCACGGTCGTCAACAGGTAGTAGGGACATCACCGGTCGTCAACAGGTAGTAGGCATCACGGTCGTCAACTCAGGTAGTTGGCTTCACGGTCGTCAACAGGTAGTAGGCTTCACGGTCGTCAACAGGTAGTAGGCTTCACGGTCGTCAACAGGTAGTAGGCTTCACGGTCGTCAACAGGTAGTAGGCTTCACGGTCACGTCAACAGGTAGTAGGCTTCACCGGTCGTCAACAGGTAGTAGGTTCACGGTCCGTCAACAGGTAGTAGGCTCACGCGTCTCAAACAGGTGTAGGCTTCATGGTCGTCAACAGGTAGTAGGCTTCACGGTCGTCAACAGGTAGTAGGCATAACGGTCGTCAACAGGTAGTAGGTTTCACGGTCGCTCAACAGGTAGTAGGCATTCACGGTCGTCAACAGGTAGTAGGCTTACGGTCGTCAACAGGTAGATAGGCTTTCACGGTCGTCATACAGGTAGTAGGCCTCACGGTCGTCAACAGGAGTAGGCTTCACGGTCGTCACAGGTAGTGGCTTCACGGTCGTCAACGGGTTAGTAGGCTTCACGGTCGTCAACTGGTAGTAGGCTTCACGGTCGTCATACAGGTAGTAGTTCACGGTCGTCAACGGGTAGTTGGCTTCACTCGGTCGTCATCAGATAGTAGGCTTTCGGTTCGTCACACAGGTAGTAGGCTTCACGGCGTCAACAGGTAGGAGGCTCACGGTCGTCTACGGGTAGTAGGCTTCACGGTCGCCAAACGGGGTAGTGGGCTTCACGGTCCGTCAAACAGGTTGTAGGCATCACGGCGTCAACGGGGTAGTAGGCTTTCACGGTCGTCAACGGTAGTGGCTTCACGGTCGTCAACGGGTGTGGGCTTCACGGATGTCATAGGTAGTAGGCTTCACGGTCTGTCAACGGGTAGTAGGCTTCACGGTCGTCAACCGGGTAGTGGGCTTCACGTCGTCCAAAGGTAGTAGGGCATCACGGTCGTCACAGGTAGTAGGCTTCACGGTCGTCAACGGGTTGTAGGCTTCACGGTCGTCAAGGGAACGTGGCTTCACGGTCGTCAACAGGTAGTAGGCATCACGGTCGTCAACAGGTAGTAGGCTTCACGGTCGTCAACAGGTAGTAGGCATCACGGTCGTCAACGGGTAGTAGGCTTCACGGTCGTCAACAGGTAGTAGGCTTTACACGGTCGTCAAATGTTTGTTGGCTTCACGGTCGTCAACAGGTAGTAGGCATCACGGTCGTCAACGGGTAGTAGGCTTCACGGTCGTCAACAGGTAGTAGGCTTCACGGTCGTCAACAGGTAGTAGGCATCACGGTCGTCAACGGGTAGTGGGCTTCACGGGTCGTCAACAGGTTGTAGCATCACGGTGTCATACGGGTAGTGGGCTTAAACGGTCGTCAACAGGTATTAGGCATACGGTCGTCAACGGGTAGTGGGCTTCACGGTCGTCAACAGGTAGTAGGCATCACGGTCGTCAACGGGTAGTAGGCATCACGGTCGTCAACGGGTAGTAGGCTTCACGGTCGTCAACGGGTAGTAGGCTTCACGGTCGTCAACGGGTAGTAGGCTTCCCCCACAAACGTCGTGTAACCACGTACATCCTGTAAAAGATGTTATTAGAAAATTCGTTTTGAAGTACAACATTAGTTTTAACTGAATTTAGGAAACATATTATTTATTTTACAAAACCACACACACACACACACACACACACAACACACAACACACACAACACACACACACACACACACACACACACACACACATACACACACACACACACCCCTACATCGTGAATCAAGACTGACCCGAAACTGTTGTATAGCCACATCAGGAGGAAGACAACAGTCAAAGACCAGGTGATCAGGCTTAAGGGACTGAAGGTGGAAAACTCACAAGAATGATCAGGAGGTTGTGAGGAGAGAAACTCTGGAGTTTAAGGAAGTTTTGTACAGTAGAGACGGAAGGGCTGGGGAAGACAGCACCAAAGGAACATCAAGAGAGGAATACCAACACAACCCCCCACGGTTGGATGACATACGAACAACTGAGGGGGAGGTGAAGAAGCTATTAAGTGACCTTGACACCTTCATAGGCGATGGGAACGGACAACATACTCCCCATGGGTCTTAGAGAAGGAGCAGAGATGCTGTGTGTGTCTAACCCACCAAATCTTCAAACACATCCCTTGAAACTGGGCAAACTACCTGAGAAAATGGTTAGACAGCTAATGTAGTCCCCATATTTAAGAAAGGAAACAGAAATGAGGCACCTAAACTACAGCCTGTGTCTTCCCCGACATGTATTGTGTGCAAAAGTATGGAGATGATTATCAGGAGGAGAGTGGTCGAAACCTGGAAAGGAAAAGATTATAAAATGAAAACCAGCATGGGGTCATGGAAGGCAAATCTTGTATACACAAACTCCTGGAGATTTATGACAAGGTTAACGAGAAGGGACATGATTATTATTATTATTAAATCAAGGGGGAAGCGCTAAACCGTAGGATTATACAGCGCCTGGGGGGGGGGATATGTGGAAGGCATTCAGGCTTAATTCGGGGAACTGGAGCACGATCCAATTCCTAATCAAGAGCCCCTCACCACATCAAGGACCTTCCTTGAGGGGAACAGAAGTCATGGAGAGAGAGGGTTGGTAGATTGCGTTTTCCCCTTGACTGCAGGAACCGGCCTTTGACACAGTTCCCCACAATGAGGATTAGTGCAGAGCTGGAGGATCAGGCACACGTAAAGGAAGGGCACTGCAATGGATAAGGGAATACCTGACAGGGAGGCAGCAAACGGAGTCATGGTACGTGAGGAGGTATCCAGTGGGCGGCCTGTACGAGGGGTCCCCAAGGGGTCAGTTCTAGGACCAGTGCTATTTTTGATATATGTGAACGACATGTTGGAAGGAATAGACTCTGAAGTGTCCCTGTTCGCAGTGACGTGAAGTTGATGAGAAGAATTAGAAATCGGACGAGGATGAGGCAGGACTGCAAAGAGACCTGGAGAGGCTTCTTTAGACATGTGGTCCAGTCACTGCTCTCGGAATTCATCAGCCAAATGCAAGTCATGAAGATTGGGGGGGGCAAAGAAGACCGCAGACAGAGTTTAGCTAGGTGGACAAAGACTAAGACCTCACTTGGGTGAAAAGACCATGGGGTGACCATAACACCGAGAACATCACCGGAGGCAACATCATAACCAAATAAACCGCTGCAGCATCCGGGCGCCTGGCAAACCTGAGATTAGCGTTCCGATATCCTTAAAAGGAATCGTTCATGACACTGTACACTGTGTATGTTTGGCCTTTACTGGGTATGCAGCACCAGCTGGAAACCCCACCTGGTCAAGCACGCAAGAGTTAGAGAAAGTACAAGGTTTGCAACAAGGCTAGTCCCAGAGCTCATGGGAATGCTAGTACGAGGAAAGGTTAAGGGAAATAGACCTGACGACACTGGAGGACAGAAGGGTCAGGGGAGACATGATAACGACATACAAGATACTGGGGGAATAGACAAGGTGGACAGAGAGAGGATGTTCAGAGAGGGGACGGGACAAGGGGTCACAAATGGAAGCTGAAGACTCAGGCGAGTCACAGGGACGTTAGGAAGTATTTCTTCAGTCATGAGTTGCCTAGCATGTGGAAATAGCTAGCATGTGAAGGAGGGGAGGCAGGAACCATACATAGTTTTAAGAAGAGGTTTGACACACGCTCAGGAAGAAGAGAGAGAGGAGGATCCTCGCGTAGCGTTCAGTGAAGAGGCGGGGCCAGGAGTGAGTCTCGACCCCTGAACCACAATTAGGTGAGTTACAATTAGGTGGTACACACACACTATCACATACAACACACACACACTCAACACACGACACACAACAACACTGTAAGTGCGGTAAGTCCCAGGAGGTGGTCAGGTCACAAGAGGTGTGGGCAGCCAAGGACCACTGTGGACTTACCTTAAACGCACAAGCCACCCTACCATTCAGTACCATAATAAACCCACACATAACTCCTACACAATTACACACATAAAATTTACACACTCACACACACACAACACACACACACACTCACACACCCACAACACACACACACACACATATCAACACACACACACTCCCCCTCACCACCGACATCTCACTACATCCTGATCCATCCCTCCTCGATCACCCTCCCTCCCCGGGCACCCCAAACCCTCCCCACCCCTACCCCACTCGCTCCCAAATAGCCACAGTTCCTCCACTACTTCCCCCCCCACACTCTGACACACACACTACTAACCTAACATACAGAACTACATAGGTTTTCCAACCTGAGGCACTCAGGATAAAAAAAAATGGGTTGCCAGAGAGCAACTGAAAAAACAGGGACAGGAGGAGGAAATTGCTAAGGAAGATTGGGCGCAGAGGCTCATAAAAAGGGTCATGAATGGGAAAAGGAAACTAGAAGAACTTAGCATGAGAAAGGAAGAGAGGATAGATATGGAAAGCAGGAAGTGGGAGGTGCATGTCAAAGCAGCAGAAGCTAGGATACAG